AAAAGAAATAAATAATTATGAAAATTAAGCAAGTTGTGATAATCTAGTGGTGATCTCTTGGAATTTGATGTATATTTACATTAATTATAAGTTTGATTCTTCCATAAATTAAATTATCACTATTTAATCAGTTTAAGTTAGGATTTCAATTCTGGTGGTTTATATGATGTACCATAAAAGATCATAAATATGGTATGTTTTTGAGATAGACCACTACATATCACAAAATGCATTTGTTCTAAGGTGTTCAGATCAGTAGATAGAATTTATAAAAAAAAAAAATATCATGAAAATTATGGTTGTATTCTATCCATGTCCACCTTGATCGTATCTGCACGAGAAATGATACATGAGGAACAAAAAAACATAAATATAACAGTCACACCAAAAGTTGAATTAATTATAGCAAAGAGAGAATCTTATTACCTTGTCATGATTTGGTACACTTAAGTCAAACCAAAAATCACTTCTTATACATGTCCATCGTCAAGAAACGACAATGATACTTTATCAAGATTCTTTGTCATTTATTATTCAGTCTGGTAAACTTTTTGGTTATATAATATATGGACAGAACTTAGGTTCATCCCCTGTGGTGAATTATATAATTCACCTCACTTTTCATTACCAATAAAACTGCCATGTAGGATTAATTAAAAAAAATACTGAAATTTAAAAAAAAAAAGGAAAATAGGTTGGAAATAAAAAGGAACAAACGATATAACGCCGCCGTTAGGAGGAAAATGAACGTGAGGTGATCTGATTCATCTTCTTCATCCATCGACTATTCTCCCAAATAATCCATAGCTGTGAATTACAGGTTCGAATTATAATCACATCAATGCAGTAGAGAAACATAATTAACCTTAAGTCTAATTGTTATTAGCTTAGAATTGCTAGATCTTTTTTAATCATGTCTACGTATATCATATTTGATCTTCTTTTTGATTTTCTGATTATCACATCTATATATGACATAGCAATACGAGATTAAGTCAGTTAGATTAAGCTATACTTTGGTTGTTTTATTTTGATTATGAACATAGCAATATGAGATTAAGTCAGTTAGGTTAAGCTATAATTTTGTTGCTTTATTTTGATGGTGGTATAAAAATCTCATGTTGCTACACCATTGAAGTCATAATTGTTCTGACAATAACTAATAACTAGATTTTGACCCGCGCAACCGCGAGGGTGTTTGTTTTCATTTTTATATACATAAATATTTATTTTAGAACATAAATGATATATATTTTCAACGTTAATCATATATTTAAATGTTTATATAACTATTTTAAATACAATAATTTTATAATTTACATGTTATATTAATCAATTGTTAAAACCGTATGTATTTGTCACTTATTATTATATATTTATCGTATTGTATTTTCATTTAGTTATTAAACAAATATATTCATGAGAAAACATATTTGAAAATTAGTTTATATTTAATTTATGGTAAATTCTGACCCGACCTTCAAAGCTGTATTTTTTTACCAATATTTTTATGTTTATTTATTTTGGATAATATATATTGTATATACAAAAGTCTAAGATATGTTAATTTTTAGAAATGTACTATATAGTTTGCTAGTTTTAAACCGTTCGGTCATCATATTATATTTTTAAAATAAATAGTTTATATTATGAAATTAAAATTTAAATATTTAATATACTTTTATCATATTTAGTTCAACATACTTATTGTCTTTTAACATGATGATTATAATTATGAAGTAAATCAAATATGATATAAGTTAAATTTTTCATTTTATAACGATAACATAAAATACATTAACTTATTATAAAATATTTTTACACATATTTATTAAAAAATTAAAATTAAATATACATATATATACACATATATATATATATTTAAAATGAAAAGATATCCCTATTAAAATAGTTATAAATATTTTATATTATTAGGTTTAATGAAATACATGTTAATTTATATATATGTATTATATAGTTTGCTAATGTTAACCCGTCTTACCAACATATTAGATTTTACTTTTAGCATAAATAATTTATATTTATGAAAATAAAATATATAGTTTTATCAATTTAATAGAATTATTATATTTAGGTTAATCTAATAATTTAATCTAGTTGATTATGATATGATATAATTTTTTATTTTTTTATTTTCTAAACTTAACTGAAAATATTAATTTTTAACAATATTTCAAACTAATTTCGCAATTACTGAAAATATTTAAAGATAGTATCGAAAATGAAGATCTTATAAAATCTTTTAAAATAGATTTGTTAGAATTTAAATAAATATATTTATATTTAAAATGAAAAATCAAAAGATATCAAAAGATATTATGATTAAAGTATTTTAAAGATTCTATATATTATTAGTCTTAATGAAATACAAATAGTCTAAGTTTTGATAGTCTATTTAAAAAAAAAAAAATCACACATGAATCAATGTTATGATTTCTGTTTTAATACATAAGATTAGAAAAAAAAAACAAAAGAATAGTGCTCAAGTCATCCGCATTATCATATACTGGGTGAGTTTTAGTGGTGTTCCAGTGAATGAATTAAAGTCATTATTAGGACATTCTATTGCTTAGCTTGTCACATGGGACATCATAAATATTTTTTCATCAATTCCTACATGTTTCTACGCCATCTGTTCAATTATTTATCAATTTGATTTTTTTTCATGTATAAAAGAACATAACTAGACAACTGACCTTGAATATTTTCTTTACGATATGTTAAAAAAAACAATTCTAGGCAACAATAAAGCCAAGTCAGGATGTATGAACCTTTTTGTTTTACCTCTGATTGTTCTATATTATCTAATATAATTTTTAACTGCTGCTGGTATTTTTCTATGTAGTTGCAATGGAGAGTGGTCACTTAAATGGTCAAGAAACTGTTTCCGCTAATCAAGATGAATTTAGTTTGCAAGTCTTAGAGGAAACCAGTTTGTTAAGTCAGAATTCATATGAGTTTTAGCTGAGGAAAAATATGCTACACTTAGTGATGACAACGCTTCAGTCAGTGATTTTGATGAAGAAGAACACATAGACAACAACGAGGATTATCTTCAGACTGAAGATACTGATGTTTTGGAGGCAAACAATGAAAATCAGGAAAAATATGAACTCTGTATTGGAATGGACTTTAGTTCTGATGAGTCTGCATATAAAGCTTACAGAAAGTATGGAGGCAATCATGGTTTTGATGTAAGGAGACAACGGACTTCAAAAAGAAACAACAAGCTAATAAGGATGGTTTATGTATGCTCAAGAGAGGGGTTTAGGCAGGAACCTAAGGTTAAGAAAACACATTCGCGACCAAGCACAAGGTGTGGTTGTAATGCTCGCATGTCTTGCTACCTTCAGAGTAACGGAAGATATAAGATTGTGGCTTTTGAGCCAAATCATAACCATGACTTAGTGAGGACACCAATGAAACATTTTCTTAAGAGTAACCGAGCAATATCTATCTCTCAAAAACAACATGCTGATGATGCTGATATGTCAGGAATTTCAGCAAAGACAACTGTTGAAATGATGAGCAGAGAAGTTGGGGGGCGAGCGAATCTGGGTTTTATGGATAAAGACCTGAGCAATTACATATACCGAAAGCGAATGGCAGCAATGAAAAAGGGAGATGATGGAGCGGTTTTGGAGTACTTTCAAAAAAAGAAAGAGGATAATGCATCTTTTTTTTATTCAATGCAACTTGATGAGGATGATATGATCACTAATATCTTCTGGGCAGATGATCGGTCAATTAGTGATTACAATCTTTTTGGAGATGTTGTTTGCTTTGATACAACTTACAAGACGAATGAATATGATAGACCGTTTGCTCCATTTGTCGGGGTCAATCATCATAAGCAAACTATTGTGTTTGGTGCTGCTCTCTTATATGATGAAACCACAGAGTCCTTTGAGTGGCTTTTTCAGACTTTTCTTGGAGCAATGTCTGGAAAACAACCGCAAACAGTTCTTACAGACCAATGTGCAGCAATGGCCAATGCAATTGGAAAAGTGTTCCCTGAAACCAAACATAGGTTATGTGTTTGGCATATTTACCAAAATGCCGCAAAGAGGTTGAGTCGTGTATTTCATGGACCAGACCAGTTTGCCACAGACTTTGGAAAATGTGTATATGACCATGAGAATGAAGTAGAGTGGTTATCGGCATGGAGTGAAATGCTCGAGAAGCATGGATTGGCAGAGAATAAATGGTTGAAGGATTTGTTTGAGTTGAGAGAAAAATGGGCAAGGGTATATGGTCGTCAAACTTTTACAGCCGATATGATGAGTACACAGCGTAGTGAAAGTATGAATAATATTTTGAAAAAATATCTGAAGCACAGTTATAACTTGTTGCACTTCTTTAAACACTATGAGAGAGTGTTGGATGATCGTCGATTTAAAGAATTAACTGCTGACTTTAGTATGATGCATACCTCGCCGGTATTATCGGCTCCCGTGGAAATGTTGCAACATGCAGTAGACGTATACACACCAGAAGTTTTTACCTTGTTCCAGAAGGAATACACAGCTATTGGTGATTATGTTGCCAAAAGAGTCAATAAGTCTGAGATGGTAAATGCTGAATACAATGTATCTTTTCGTGGTGTTGGAAGAAATCATTTGGTTAACTATGTTGCTGCAAACAAAACGATACATTGTAGTTGCATGAAGTTTTCTTTTGCTGGAATCTTATGCCGTCATGCATTAAAAGTGTTGGCCAAGAAGGATGTTAGAAGAATTCCACCTACCTACATTCTGAATCGATGGAGTAAAGAGGCTAAAGCACGAACCCTATCTTTTTATCATTCAGCGAGACCCAATGATACAGTGAACCAATCAAGCGGAAAGCGATACAGTCATATATGTCATACTTTTCGTGAGATAGCATCGGTTGCTGCTGAACATATAGAACTGACATTGTGTACAGATGAAGCTGCCTTTCAGTTGCTTGAAAAATTGGTGGAAAAGAAAAAGGAACTTATGAAAGCTAATAAATGGATGCTCCATACTTCAGATTTTGAACTTGTGGAAGAAGAAGAAGAAGAAGAAGTTCTAAATGCACGTGGAATAAAAAGAAAAAATCCTCCTGGACGACCAAAGAACCAAAAAGTCGGACGCCATGGTCGATATTTAAGTGTGCTTGAAACAAAAAATCGTGGTATATCAAAATCATCCACTAAAACAACAACAAAAAAAAGTTGTCATTTCAGGTATTTGATATATATATATATATTTATATTTATATATATATGTGTTTTTTGGTCCAATCTTCATTGATATTTTGGGACTTAATCAATATATATTTCAGGATTCAAGTCTTTCTCTTGATACCGAGTTATCTGTTGCTGCCACTAGTTCGACCTTATACGATGAACCTTCTTTTTCGCAACTGCTCCAGGTTAATACTTCATTCTCTACATTATTTATATTTAAGTTATCTATCATTTTTTCATTTTTTTCATGTCTCATATTTTGTAGGGATTTGACAAGAGTTATGATGAATCATGATAGGACTATATTATCTTAAATGTGAAAGTAGACATTAATTATGTTTTTATTTTTGTTTCGTTCTTACTTCAGGTGTTTCTAGCATATTCTTGTTTCTACACTTATTATTATCTTCAAAAAGTCAAGGTTGTATTCAGTTTTAATGTCTCTGGTGAAACTTTAGCGAAGCACACACAATGCGCCAACACTTCATTATCTATTTTATTCTTGTATCTTCAAACAGAATAAACTAAACAGAAGAATAGAAAGATTAACACTAAAGGTTTATGTTGGAACATTGAGAAAAACGTGTTGAGGTTGACGTTGCACAAGACTTAAGAAAGTGCCATGCATGAATCACTCCAACGAGAATATCAACAGCAAAAACGAGATTAACTAACATATCACTCTAATTTTAATCAAATTCCTCTTCTTTTTGGGAAAAATATTTAGTGACCAACTAATAAAATTAAAGCATTTGGCAGTTGATATGCTGCGTGCGATATTTATAACAAGAGAGTCCATAAGAGAACGAGGTAATAGTTAATAACTATTGCTATATAACCATAAGTTTTATTACAGAAGATTAAGCTTAGAGAGGCCACAAACAAGAAAGGATGATGAAATCTGAGTGTAAACGATGCAAGCTTTCCTCTACTTATGATTTAGCTCTGGCTGCTACTTTTCTTAAACCTCGCAATCCAAGTCTTGGTCTGCATCGTCGTCAAAAGATTAAGCTCTGGCTGCTACTTTCTCTGTGTTTTTATTAGAATTTTCAATTCTCTTACAACAACACAACGCTAACTCTTTTTGTTACACAAGTCATGTTTTCTTTGACTTTCTTCCTTCTTGATATTGTTTTTTCTTCATTCTTTTGTTTCTTGCGGTTCAAGTCTCTTCTTCTTCCTCCTTCTTTGTAGCTTGTTCTTTGCTACTCTTCTTTGTTCTTCTTTTTGGGCATTTTTTTAGATCCACTTTTTGCGGCTTAAGTCTTTTCTTTTGACTGCTTTCTTCTCCATCTTTATCTTTGGTTCACGCCAGAGATAAAACTCAAGTAGCAGGAAAAAATAAAATCCATGGATGAACAATTTGATTTGGCTTAGAGGAGGGTAAATCAAAACTAGATTTGAAAGCACAGAATTGGAGAATCAAACTTGACAAATCCTTGTATTTTTATATGGGAGTCTCTGCAGAGAGGATGAAAAAGAAGCCGATGGATACAGAAGATGAATCAGATCACGTCACGTTCCTTTTCCTCCTAACGGCGGCGTTATATCGTTTGTTCCTTTTTATTTCCAACCTATTTTCCTTTTTTTTTTAAATTTCAGTATTTTTTTTTAATTAATCCTACATGGCAGTTTTATTGGTAATAAAAAGTGAGGTGAATTATACAATTCACCACAGGGGGTGAACCTAAGTTCTGTCCATAATATATCTATATTATTAAAACTGAATTACCAAACATATAACAATATAAATGAGAATTCTTTGCATATATGAATAGTAATATCTTTTTAATATCTTTTTTACATATTTAGTCATTATATTTATAATAAATTAAATATTTTTGAATATTTCTTTTTATTTATTGATTTTGCGACTACATTTAGAATTAATTTAGATTAGTTAATTAAAAATCCAAAATTGATAATATAGGTATACAGTTATAATATAATATATATTAAATAAAAAATATATAGTATTAGCATATTTAATTTAGTCAAATAGAAAAATTTTGAGAGTTCAATTTTCAAGAAACAAAATATCATAATATTAACAATAATAATTCATAGAAACTTATGCAAAAAAAATTTAGTATATTTTTCAAGCTAAAATAATTAACAAAAAAATAACAGATTAATATATGAAAAATACAATTACACCAAATTAAAAATTATTAAGAAAATAAAAAAATTATTATCAAGCATCTATATTATAAAATAATATATTCTACTCTATATATAAATTACATATATAAAAATATATATGGGAATTTTTGTAGAACCAGTGGTTTTATGAGTTTATGTTGTACATGTTAGATCATCTCCAAAATAATCTCTATAACTTCAAATATAAAGTTTTTTGCTCTCCAAAAAGAAACTTCAAAACTTCTAATTTGAAATTTTGGGAAGTGAAATTTCATATTTGAAGTTTCACTTCTCAAAATTTCATATTTGAAATTTCATCTTTTTATTTGCAATTTGGTTATTATATTTACATATCTTATTTACGATTTTTAAGTATTTTCTTATTTATCATTTTAATCTTTAAAAAACTTATATCTCACAAATCTTCAAATTTATTTCTATAAATTAAGCTTTACACATAAAATTAAATAAGAAATTAAACTAAGATTTTTATTATTTTAAAGGTAAAATTAGACAACAAGAATATTAAAAACAAAGTTATTTATTATTTTTTAAAGAAGATATAATTATTATAGAAATTGAAAATATTACAACAACACTAATAATCTGGTAAATCTACCCCGGAAACTCCAAAATCTTCAAATCCAAACAAGTTTTTTGGTAAACGAAGATTGTATTTTTTTTATTCTTGACTTCTTTTTCGTATAATTTTTTCTTGTTCAAAACGAATGTACTCACGAGTATTAATATCACCGATAGAGGTGTTTTAGCAATATTTTGTTTTCCTCTTTTACTTCTTTAAACTAATTTTTTTGCTTCATTTTTCATTCGTAATTCAATCATCTCATGATTTTTATCCATGTTTGTTGCACTTTGTTTTAAAAAATCACGGATTTGTTTGTTGGATGATATCAAAGTATCAGCCGCCATGTTATTACCTTCGGTAATCTTCTTTTTGAGTTTTACTTTCTTTGACCCAGTAGGACGTGAACTTGATCCGCCATCATCACTACCTAAATTGAATGAAAATGAAGGCATTCTCGGAGATTTAATTATGTATTTCTATTTCTAGTTTTATATTTTAATGTAAATTTTTATTAATTAATAATGTTTTAATATTTGTATATATGTGTAGTTTTTTATAAAAAGTTATGAATTTTCATTAATTATGACAAATATAAGGACCATCATGTAATATATAAATAATTTCGAAGTTAGTTTTGAAGTTTTTGTTTTGGAGAAGAACAATTTGAAACTTTAGATATAGAGTTTAAGAAGCATCAAAATAGTTTTTTTTTTTTTTTTGAAATGCTCATAAATCAAATATCCGTGCGGGGGCGCGAATCAAGTTCTAGTTAATATTTATAACTTTGCCTTTTACAAATGTTATTAAACTCCAAAATCTAGACATGAGACATTTCTTAACAAATTATTCTTTCTGTTATGCGTAAGTAATTAATAGTTAATACAAAGCATATATCTTAGAAATTATCGTGTGTATGTGTATGTTTATGTGGACATAAATTCATACAGATAAATGAAGAAGAGGGTCTAAAGACGAATGAGACGAAGAAGATTCTGCGAAACTGCTCCAAAGATCGACATTATTATCATTATTCCACTGAATATCCCATCGATGCATCATAGCATCACCATCTTCTTCTTCCTCGTCAAAACTCGTATGATGACCATTGTTTAATTGCCACGCAACTAACCGATCAAGACTAGCCCAATTACTGCAAACCAGTCCACCGGTTATCATCTCTTGATCTATAGAGGAATCCAGTTGGTTCGGAAGCTTTGAGTTTTGGTCGACCAAGTTTCCGGATTTGGGTGTCTCAAGACTTGGGAGTTGCATGAATAAAAGATTATCCTGATGTTGAGTTTTGGTTTGGATCTCTGGCATGAAAATATTGGGTCCGGCACGGTCCATGCATAGAAGAACATTGTCAAAAACGGTGGCGTTTAGAGTGTTGTGAAAGGTGGTAGGCCTTCTGTGTTCGTCAGTGTCATCAAGTGAAGAAGATAGAGTGATTTTAGGAGAATCGTCGATCTTTTGATAGTTCTTCTTCCTGAAGACTCGACATACCACCCAACCTTCTTCGTCATAGCTCATTGGGTCTTCAGTTACAACATCAGAATAGCTCTGCTAACAGAAGAAAACAGACCTCGGTAATTAAAATGCATTAGAAGATTTTGACGGTTACGTCGAAAATGCGACTTGTTGAAGTTGTTTGGAGCAAAATAGAAAGTGAAACAACAAACGTCCTAATATTTCTCACGCTATAAAATAAGAATTTCATAACTTTTGAGAACCATTTTTTTACTGTAGAAACTCAAAGGACAGTTTTTGTTTTTAAGTCTTACACAATATCTATTTGGTTTATTCAATTATAGGAAGTAATTAAAAATGAAAACGAAAAATTGAAACAATGTTAAAGTAAGATATCATACAAATCTCCTTGACAAAAAACAGATATCATACAAAATACACTGTTGTTTTTAATTATATCCGTTTGCGAGTTTACAAAAAAAAATGTATATCCTTTTGCGGATAGTTTCTGTTAAATCGCCTAGAACTAATAATCGTAGTTATGTAATCTCCTGATAAAATTACTAAGCCATTGTACTTCAATGTTTTGAAGAAATGAAATGAAAATGTTGGCAAAATAATCTAGGGACTTTTACAAAATATTGTTTTTAATTTTCATATCTGCCTTAGTGAAACGATTAAACTCAATTTTGCTTCTTTCAACCTACAATAAATATTGCTATACTTACATCAGTTGTTGGAGCATCGTGGAGGCGACACTCATGCATGATCCAATCAGATTTCTGACCATGAGGAGCTCTTCCTTTGTAGAGCACAAGGGTCTTCCTCAATCCTATTCTCTGGACACAACTGTATATGATCTTATCACGTCCAGTAGCTTTCCAAAATCCGGCGACTGTTGCCCTGTTTGTTCTTGACCCGGTTGGATACTTCTTGTCCTTATGACTGAAGAAGTACCAATCGTTCTGTGGTGTCGAAACGATTCTACATTCCTCTGCATTGCGTACCAAAATGGTTCAAAAAAAAGACTTGATAGAAACGAAGAAAGAGATTTTCATATAAGGGTTTCTTGTTAGAAGAACCTTGAATATCCCAAGGCTCAAGCTTGTTGTGATCTACTTCAGGAATGATATCAAGATCTATCTTTTGAGAGTGAACTTTCTTGCGGAGATAGTAATGGAGAAGTTCTTCTTCTGTTGGATGGAATCTGAAACCTGGAGGCACTTTTGATTGTCCATTAATCAAAAAATTTACCTTATTCTCCGCCATCGATGATGATAACGATATCTTCTTAGTTGTTTTGCTCTAGTAGAGAAGCAAAGTTGTATGGTTACAAGGGAAAATGGTTACAACTTACTGGGAAAGCAGGCGATGGATCATTATTTATAATGGTGGTGGTACTCGATGACACATAGCCCCTGGAAGAAATTATTATTGAAATAAAGATTTAAATTTATCATGCATAAAGTGTCTTTTTAGAATTAAATAATTTTTTAAACTTATGGTTTATGTTTAAATCGAAGTTGATCATGTGTAGATTGTGACGTAAGTTCTTTCCTTTTTGACGTCTTTAGGTAGGTCTGGATGTAAGCAGTGGCGGATCTACTTGTTTAGTAGGGGTGTCAGCTGACACACATTAAAAAATATATATATGGTTTTTTCAGCTAGTACAAGTGAAATTCAACAGGTATGGTGGTGATTTCAGTGATGATGGCACCTCTAAAACCTGAGTTCAAATCTGTTTCACCCTCTCCTTGACACCTTATTTCTAATTTGAATTTAAAAGCCAATTAATTTTGACACCCCCAAATCTGGATTCTAGATCCGCCACTGGATGTAAGCCGGGAACTTGGCTTATACTTGTAGTTGATCCGACCAAATATATAGTTGATCAAATATTTGCATATACTTTAAATATTTTCAAGTTATTTGGTAATAATTGATAGTTGTTTATTTAGGTTTAAAACTTTAAAACTATGGAATCACCGTAGCCTAGTGGTTAAAGTTTAAAGATTTCTACACAAAGTCTGGGGTTTGAATCTCTTCGAATCTCAGGCTACGCAGTTTCTACACCAAGAGGGTTTTAATTCCCGAAAAAGGTGAATGACGAATTATGTAGATTGGAAAAAAAAAACTTACAAAAGATCTTCAGCATGACGCAAGACGTACTGTCAGGAATGTATCTTATAGGACAGTCCAGGGTGATGCAGTAAATACTTTGTTTTAAATATACTTGTTACTCTACTTCGTCCACATGCACGTGTGTAAACTCATCTGATTAAATATATATTACATCAAATATCTAAAATAATTTATTCATTCTGATTTTTATTACAATACCAGTAGTAAAACATATATTTTAATACATGGTACACATTATTAAAACCAATATCAAGTACTAAAACAAAAAACAGGTCAAGAATTAAAAAGAGTTGTGATATTTGATACTTGATTTGTATTTGTAAATAATAAATAACTAGGTAGATATTCGCGCCTTGCGCGTTATGAAATAAAAGTTATATTAACAAAAACACATAATTTTCTTTAAATATAATCTCTAGATTTATAATATAAAATGTTAAAACTAAAACACATGGATAAATATGTGCAAATTATTTTTCCGGTTTTATAATTCTATATAATAGTAAAAGGTTTTGTTTTTGTTTTTCCAAATACATCATGCAACCCTATATAATTTTTGTATTGAAATCCCATAAATCAACTTTTGTTTGTTGCCTACAAATGTTAGAAGGTTTATCGAATCTATTCTTTATGATAAATGCGAACATATTGTAAATAATCAAATAAAAATGATGATATTTTAAATAAGGATCAACACATGTATAAACAAAAAAAACGAAAGGAGGGTTCCAGCGAATATTTTGACTTGTATAATCGGGATGGTACTAACAAACGATCTCGGGTCAGTTAACTCCTGATTTTCTTGATGATCCTCGGTTAGCAGATTCTTGTTGAGTTGCAATTATTTATATTCGGTGTTGTGAGTCTTTATGAATGTTTACAATCACCAACATTAACAATAAGCCGAAAATATGTTGAATAGATCTTATGGCCAGAAAGAGCGAAAGAAAATTAATGATATGTGTCTATTTTTCCTTAATGCCTTAAGCATTTACAGACTCTCTGTTTTTTTTTGTATGACTTCAAATTTTGACTACGTTTATCTTATGTGTTTTTATAAAAGTCGTAATCGAATGTCTGCATAAGAAACTCGTAGGTTAGACTAACTACGCATAAAAATACATTAAATGAACCTGGCTTATCATCATTTTTTCTCAATGGATTGACATTTAATAAATTCTTCTTATCATGTAAATGTGTCTCACAGATATAATACAAAACAGATGTAGGATGGGAATAAGAAGAACAAAATAACAGTACTATGATTGTATAAAACACTATAAATTATTCTTCTACACTAGCTATTTTAAACTTAAGCAAGATAAACTTATATAAAGAGGCAAGAGTTTTTGATTTGGATCAATTGCAGTATGATGAGTGACTTGGTATATATAGAAGAACCGACTGGTAGCACAATAAACTCAATAATTTTGGACATAAATATAGGTATATACGGCATTAACTGAATAAAATCTTTCAAGAATATTTGCTCCTCAATCCCAACGCTTACATATTTGATTATAAAGTTCCAATAATATTTCATATCATATTAACTAGCAAATATGTGATCAGGATAAATGTCATATATAATTGACATAGCGTTGAAGTGATGAACAAGGATTCGTGTTAACCAAGTTCAAAGTACATAACTGATATATTTGTACTTAATGCAATTCACATTCACTGGAGTATATAAGCAATATAATTTTTTATGGGAACAAATCTCATACTATTGTTTACCAAAAAAAAACCCATACTAAAAAGATTATTATGAATAATAAAAATTTGAAATACAATAGATATCCCTTTTTATTTCCTAAGAATTTCCCTATATCAAGCGTAGATAGTTACTCCTTACTATTGGATTTAAGCTTATAGAACTTAATACTTGTGTTAATATTAAATGTAGAATAATTTACTTACTGAAAAATTTCAATGGAAGCAAAACTAAAAAATAAAACGATTCCTAAACTAAATATTAAAGGCTTTAATCATCATTTCTCTCGATCGGATTAAAATTAACATCTTGACAGTGATCTTTTTAGCTTCATAGATGCATACATTTGTGTTATTTTTGGGGAAAAAAATACTTAATATGATTTTTTTCATAGTATCTCAATGTATCAGCCCCAAGAGTAAAATCTAAAATGATTTGTATTGAATTGACAATATATACCATTTTTATCAGATTCATCATTTTTTTTAAATGCACAGAACCTAGAATATATCAATTTATTTGATAGTGCTTTGCTTCACATTTATATGAATGTTAAAGTAGCATATTAAGATATTTTAAACTTTTTAATTTTCTAAAACCCAACTAAAAGACTGATATATATACTGTATATAAATATATGTATTACTGTATGCAAAAGCATTGATTCACATTATAAAAAAATTGTATCATAGTGTTTTGCTTCACCCTATAAAAATTAAACCAGAATTTCTATAAGTAATTTGCTAAAAAAAAAAAATTTGTTATGTTGTTTCATAAGGCGAAGCTCAACATTATATGACTTTCATATATGTAATTTACTTTATGAATTATCTTAATTATAATTTGGTATGATGTTTCTTCTTTATAGCTCAACCTTTGATCCGATAAAAGCTAAGAAATTTTCTTATTGTTTTATGTTGGCTAATCATGATGAAAGCTAAACAATTTTATAATTTTTTGTAAGTACATAATGAAATAAAATGCTTATGATCAGGTGTGGAAGACACCACCTTAAATGAGTTAAAACCATACATTTACAAAAAGATACAATAAACTATACAATTGATCAAATAATTTAATAAGGTAGTCGAATGACATACTATGTAAATAGTCTAGTTATGAAAATGTTAAAGTTAAAATAGACTGAGAATAATTCTCATTGTGACACATAGAAAACAAAATTGTCTTGACTCTTTATCTTTCTAACAATAACATTCACTTTACATAACAAAACTAAAGTTGAATTTTCTAACAAAAAAAACGTAAAGGAAACTAAAGATACAAATATTAAAAAAATATAGACTATACTTTCACACCTATCAGATAGAAATGGAGGAAGCTCAGCTCTAACAAGACATAAACTGCCAGCTCGGAAGTAGAAAAACTACTCAAAGTAGGATCAATTGTAATTTAAATCATGTGAAAGTGAAAGCTCAGCTCCAACAAGACATAAATATGTGTTCATGCAGCAGAAATGACAATAACATTCACTTTTTGTCGGTAACTCTTAGAATATCGTCAAAACATCAATTTTCTTCGATGGTTGAATCAAATTAAACCCCTTTAACAAATTAAAAGTCATTAATTCTAAATGTGTAGAAAATAGGAGAAATAAATTTATAATTCAATAAACTCATTAATTAAATTGACTTTATTTTCTAAAACAAATAAGGGGGATTTACAAAAATGGAACCAAAACTTAAATTTGAAGACCAATCTATACTCCAAATTCAACAAATACAAAATAACTTAAAATAGTAGTAAGATTACAACTATTATATATAACCAAACAAAAAAGATTGTAAGCGCTTTTACGATCATGGTCCTGAAAACTCTTCTCTAATCGACATCAGAACACCTCTCGGAAAATCTATCCCTCTCGAGAAGACTTCTCAAGAAGTCTGTTCGTGCCTTAATTTTAAATTTAGTTTATAAAATTAAGAAAAATGTTTTGATGAAAAATAAATTGACATCATGTAAATATAAACAATTCAAACCATGTAATTTCAAATTTAATAAAAGTGAATTGTTTTCTGTATAGATGAGTGAATATATATTGTAAGTCATGATTGTCGTTGAAGTAATGTTGGAAATATTAGGGTTAGATTTTGAAATTTCAATTTTTTGAAAAAAATTGATATATAAGTATTTAGTTTTGTATATATTAAATATTTTATAAGTTGATTTTATGTTTAATAAACGGTTCCTTACTATCTACTTAACATATTTGTTTTTAGGTTTAGGGATACAAGACTAAGAAATCTGTTAAGAAGTTATTCACTAATAGACTTCTTGATAAGTCTTCTAAAACGTAAGGTAAATTTAGGGTTATGAAATTTTGGAGAAATTTGCTAAACTGTAATATGCAGACAGTAATACACTAGCATATTTGTGTGAGAAGTATTCTACA